CCTCCCTCCTCTACACTTCTCCTCTACCCTCCCTCCTCTACCCTCCCATCTCCCTCCCTCCTTCAACCATCTCCTTGACAACATCTTCGGCATTCTTCTCTTCCTATCCTCCATCGCTCATCCGTCGCCTTCGTTGCATTTGCCCCCCTCCTCCCCAACCATTTCAAATGCAAGGAGGGCCGGGCTGAGGGCCGGGGGCGGCCAGTAGGAGGAGCTAACAGTAGCGCTAAGGAGGAGGAAGGAGAGAGGAAGAGAAGAGAAGAGAAGAGAAGAGAAGAGGAAGAGAGGAAGCTGTTAGAGATGTGAGAAATGTCGAGATGTGCCTATCCCATCCCATCCCATCACATCCCATCTCATCTCATCTCATCTCAATCACATCTCATCTCATCTCATCTCATCTCATCAAATCCCATCCCATCTCATCCCAATCTCAATCTTATCCCATCCCATCCCAATCCATCTCAATCTCAATCTCAATCTCATCTCATCTCATCTCACTCATCTCATCTCATCTCAACTTTTGAGCATTCTCTCACGATTCCTGCAGAGTGTGTGTGAGGGCGCAAGCAACATCTCGAGGATGCGATGAAGACTAGCCGCATGCTGGACGCCGACGACATTGCTCGAGGGCAGCAGGTGCGTCTGAGACGAGAGCTTTGCTCTAAGGCCATAGACTTCGTCGAGGGAGAGCTGGTTCCCTTCAACAACCTCATCCTCAGCCTGGAAGGGAGGGTCGCGCTGCTCGAGCGCGAGAGAGACGCTGCCTACGACCTGCTCAAGAGGACGACGGAGACGAGCAACCAGGTCGACCTGTCCAGGGGATACGACAACTTGCGCTTCACAGCTGGCCTTCACTTCTCCGAGCTCGTGGACGATGATCGCGCGGCGAACGTGCTGGCCGGCATGTCGCTCTCGTTCTCGCACCTGCAAGACTCCCTGGAGGACTTCCTGGAGTGGAAGAGGATCCTCTCAGAGTCTCACTCTCACTACAGGCAGTTTGACCAGCAGCAGGGCAACAGATTTCGCTCCATGCACAACCGTGCGCATTCGCTCCTGATACGCCTCTACCGCCAAGTGCAGGAGGAGATGGAGAAGAAGGAGACGTGGGAGTTATGCAGCTCGCAAGAGTTGTTCGGCTGCAAGCACTTGAAGAGGGTAAGCCTTCACAGAGAATGAGGGAGAAGCGAGGAAGGAGAGGGTGGAGGAAGAGAGGGAGCGAGGAAGAGAGTGAGCGAAGAGCGATGGAGCAACGAAGGAGCTAGGGAAGGAAGCGGGAGGGAGGCTGGAGGAGGGATGAATTCTTGTGATTCGATGGCGCAGATCAAAGTCTTCAATCAGTGGAGATCTTTCTACCTCAACCAGCTGAGGTGAGCTTACAGACGTGTGTCGACAAGTTCTGAGTCAAGTAAACGTCAGGTTGGAGGCTTGCGAAGACACTATCTACTCCAAGTCGTGTCGTCAGACCCTCTCGACTTGCTTCCAGCACTGGAAGAGGGACGTGAAGCAATCAAAGGTACGGAAGTAAGAGCAGGAGCAGGAGCAGGAGCAGGAGCAGGAGCAGGAGCAGGAGCAGGAGCAGGAGCAGGAGCAGGAGCAGGAGCAGGAGCAGGAGCAGGAGGGTTTAGGACTATGGAAGAAAGGAAGCTGGTTCGTGCATTGATCCTGTCGCAGATCCTGAGGAACAGAGGTTGGAACACTAGCGAGGATTTCCTGCTCCCTCGACGACTCGACGACTCGCAGTTAACGTGGATGAACTCGAAGTCAGCATGGAACCATCCCCTCGCCTCATCGGGCATGACCAACGGCTTCTCTCTGTCAGCCTCCTCCCTCTCCGAGACTCAGGGAAGCTACATGGTACACGACGACCGCGACCCTGGGATGCAGACAGCGCAACCCTCCTTAGCGCACGACGAGACGACAACTACAGAGAGCAGCGAGATCATGAGCAACGTGAAGGAGTTCATCAGGAAGGAGCTGCATGGTCGTGTTGAGCCCTACGTACCCGGCATGGTGCAGGAGGCGTTCCGTTCGGAACAAGATCTGGAGCGAACGATAGAGCACGAGAGATCGTTTCAGCTGGGCAGTGAACGGGCAGACTCGAACCCCATCACCATGAGCTTGAAGCCTGAGCTCGGGCTCTATTCCTTGGGGATTGGCCAGGAGATGATATCGAGCTCTTCTTCTCTTCCTCTTTCCGAGCATGCCTGGCCTCCAATCTCCATAACAAATGTCATGGGAGTTGACAGGAAGGATGCGATCTTATCATGAGAAAACTCTTCTGCTGGCGCATTTCACGGAGTCGCTTGTGAGTCTTGTTGATTAGAACAAAGCAATTCAAGGGCATGTACAGGTAAGTAAATTCGTCAAGAAATTCCTATGAGGAGGGATCGTTTCGACAAAATCTTCGACGAAGACGGACGATCTGTTTGTTTCGTTCAGCCTTGAGCAGAAGGCTGTTTTCAGCTCCAATGCTGTCAACTAGCTTTCTTCACCAGCGTCGAATCTTTCTTCAATCTGCGATGAAGCGCATCAACATCGATCTACTTTCTCCTCGATTTCTCACGTCTTTGTGAAGTAGTTCACTGCTTGTTGAAACTTCCACGTAAGAAACAGCTTGGCTGGAATCTATCACGAAGGACATGATTAGCGGTCCAGTTCGTCTGTCAACTGCCAAACTCACGATCAAAGGCTTGAAAGCTGATCGGATCAAAAGTCCTTCAGCATAGGCTGTGACCGCTCTGAATGTGACTTCAGCATGTCATAGTTGCCTTGCATTCCTTTACCGTACAGCCTGCTCTTTTCCTGTTATCTTCTTGCCGGCCGCCTGTCGTCAATGCATTCAATAGATTGATGGAAAATGACGCGAGGGCGAAGAAAATGTACGGGAGCGAGCATGGGGGGAACCGGGGTTGTCAGGATCACAGCAGGGAGGAGGAGGGAGAGGGAGGGAGGAAATACAATCGCTTTCTCGTAAGCTCCAGGCTTGAGCGCTTTTGTCATCATGATCCCTCTCTGCATCGGTTGGAATGCATAGCAAATCCCCCAGATCGCCATCCTGGAGGAGCGAATTTTCAATCCTCTCATCTTGTTGGGGAGAGGGACCGTACATGATCCCAGCAGACGTCAGCTCGTACAAAACAAGAGCCTTGGGTATCTCCATCCAAGATATCCCCCTCTCTGTCATGAGCTACTCACGCATCGTCAACAGCATCGACTTCGCACCTTTCAGGTAGTTCTCGACTTTCTCTCTCGTTGAGAGCTGCAAGAAGAGGGTCAGACATCAGTGTATTCGTCGTGAGGTGCTCGTACCTTCGATCCTTCATCCTGCTTGTCGGAAGCGACGAAAGCCAGCCCTCTACCCAAGACAGAGTCAGTCCAAGTGAGATGAAGCAGGGTAGACCTGGATTGAGCGACGTAGCTGCATGCCTTGCTGTGAGTGCCGAGACTCTGCTTCTGCACCATGCTCGCATCATTGTTCAGATTTGATCAGGTGAGGTCACCTGGAGGATCATATGTGCGAAATGAGCCGAGGCTGCGGCCTGGATCGAGCAGCAAACGAGGCAAACGAAGAGGATAGCTTTCATCCTGCTATGTCAACTGCAGGAACAATCATCCGAGAGGGCATTTACCACTCACATTGTACTCAACGGAGTTGTGGTCAAAATATACGACCTCCCCCCCTCCCCCCCTCCCCCTCACTTTATCTCTTACTCAAGCTCTCGTCCTCTTCTCTCATCGCCCCCTCCCCCCCTCCCTTCCCCTCTATCCCTTTCCTGTCCATTGCGCCCCGTGCCGTTGTACCCCATCAAGAGCTATGACCCCTCCCCAACAACCCGGTGACCGGCCGCCGGGCCGGGCCTCCGGCCAGTGGGCGCGGCCGCTCAGTGAGGGCCGGCTTGTGCCGCAGTGCCGTCCGATCGTCGGACCGGCGCCGGCGGTCCGACGCCGGGCCGCCGCCGCCGTGACTGCGGTCACGGTGAGCCCCCGGGCCCCGGTGACCGTGACACGCCCAGATGCTCGTTTACTCAAAGTTAAGTTAAAATCAGCACGAGTCCCGTTCGCTGTCGGGGGCCTTCAGACGGTCCAGCGGCTTCAAGTGACTAGTTAGATCCGAGTGATCTATAGGCTCGCGTCCGGTGACTGTTTAACTAGCTATCTATTTAACTTAACTTTGAGTAAAGAAGCTATCAGATGAATCGGAAGCCCCCCGCCCCCGGCCCGGCGGGCCGGCCCCCCGGGCATGCATCACTGACGGCCCAGCGCCGGTCCCGGCCTCAGTGATCCCTGGGCACAACTGAACAGGCGGTTGTAACCGTCGGCGGGGGCCGAAGCACCAAGGGGTGGTGTAGTCACCCGTGAGAAATGACTTGTAGACTGGGAGGGTCGTGGGTGGGTTGTGTAGGGGTGGGGTGGGAAATGGGTGGATATGATTGGGTACATTAAAAGTTGTACTTGAAATGGGCTATGATGTCCGTGAACATAGGGTCGTCAGGGGGGTGATGAATACGAGGATATGGGGTGGTCATTCCCGGGGGTGGGTAGGTTGCGATTATGGCAGTTCCGGCGCCCCTGAGGGGTCGGTGGATGGTGGCTTGGGGTGGGTGGGGCCCAAGGAAGGGGTGGGGGGTTCTGTGGGGAGGGCGGAAATGAAGTCAAGTTGATACTGATATGACGGGAGTAGAAGCGAGGAGGAGAGGAGCGGAGGAGCGGCGAGGTTGTCTCAAGTCGTGGTAGACACGTCATGGTGAGCGCAGAGGGGAGAAGGAAGAAGGTGGGGAACGGAGGAACTTTGGTGCGGGTCCCGTAGTCATGGTGATAGGCGGAGAGATCAGAATGAAATCGATGAGACACATCTTACCTGAAGGGATGAGAATGCAGAGTAGGAGATCCTGGTACTTCCAAGATCGCCAAGAGAATTGAAAGATCGATGATGGAGCAAGGGAGGAGCAGGCAGTCGTTCAGGCGTCTGTTAGATTCGAAAACTACAGTACCACATGCTGAGAGGAACTAAAGACTTTCAAGTGTCAGAGTTGAGATGGACGGGATGTTGTTTGGTTCATGACAGGATCATCAGGTGAGCTCAGAGCAAGAAGATTGACCGAAGGAATGGATGCCGAGGCTATGTGATGTCGCCGCGCATGCTGAAACCGTGCCAACGCGAATGATGCGATCCTCTGCTATCCCCACCCAGCTATCCCCGGCGAGACTATGAAAGTGCTGGACCGAGGTGAGAGGAGGAGATGGCAGGGCCCGATAGCATGCTCATGTGCTGCTGGCAGTCTTGAGCCCACAAACCGCAACAAGGACGAATTTTGCCGACAAGTCCGTGGAGCTTCTGATCAAACTGAATCTCAGGGTGTTGAGGAGATCGTTCTTGGGCCTGTGTGAAGCATTGTCCTCCTCGCGAGAGAGGCAAGTTGCATGCTTGCAGAGCTGGGAAAGAGCCGATCTACTCGTCTCCTCGTCGAGGAGGATCAGTTCTGACTGCCTGAAGGGTTGGGTTTCTTATACTACAGAGTCGCTGAGTCAGCATCAATCCTCGCCTGTCGGCGAGATAAACAATCAGCAAGAGGTAGAGGAGGAGGAAGAGCGAGAAAGAGCACTTGGAAGCAACGATAAAGAGGAAGAGGAAGAGAATCTGCAAGAGGAAGAACACCAAAGAGAAGAGAAGCAGGCAGAGCCAGAGCAAGTGCAAGGCCAAGAGCAAGAGCAAGAGCGAGAGCAAGATATAGGCGAGAGAGAACAAGTTGATACGGAAGCAGAATCTAGGAGGAAGGAGGGCGAACGGGCGGAGACATTGAGGCTACATCTCAACAAGCAGATCGAAGTCAAGGCAATGCCGATGTCATCAGACGATGAAGAAGAGGACCAGCGAACAGAGGACGAGGCGCCGACGAAGCTGCCATGGGAGGAAAACTCCCTCGTCCTGTCAAACTTCTCTCGCCATACTCAAGAGGCCCAGGACCTGGGCAAAGCCAACCGAGGCCGAGTGGAGGAGACGAAGAAAAGTTTCAGCTTGGACCGCAGCTTCACTTCAGAGAAGTTTGACGTGCTTCACACGCAGGAGCAGCAGCAGCAGCAGCAGCAGCAGCTGATGCAGGAGGAAAGCAAGTGGGAGCAAGGCAAGAAGTCGGTGAAGGAGATGCGGGCGGAGTTCGAGAGGATGAGTCTTTCTCCTGAGGTCCTGCGCATTCGCCACGAGACGCCGAGCCCTCTGAATACCTCCCTTCCTCGTCCTGCCTTCCTGGACAAGCTCTTTCCGCAGCCCCTCCAACAGCAGCTGCCGGACAGACCGCAGAGCATGCTCGAGATGGCGAGCGGGCTCTGGAGTGAGGAGGAGAAGGGCAGGGAGCCAGGAGTAGGACGCGGAGTTGGAGGTAGCTGGTCGAGTCTTCCGACTGCTTCCACTGCTTCCTTCCAAACGCAGTTCGGGCAGACGCCGAGCCCTGTGTTGAACCTGTTCGGGCGAGGAGGGAGAAGTGCGTCTGTGGAGACTCAGATAAGGGAGATTGAGGAGAAGCAGCGCAAGAATGTGAGGATAGATCTGAACAACAACCAGTTCCGCACATTCTACCCGGAAGAGGCAGCTGAACAGAAGGAGGAGACAGGGGGGGAGAAGTGGAAGCCTAAGAGGCACACGAACGTGATCCCGCGGATGATGGGGGAAGGGGAGGAGGAGGAGGGGGAGGAGCGAGGGAGACGAGAAGAGGATGATGCAGGAAATAGCAACGGAAATGTGGAGCGAGAGCAGGAGCAGGAGCAGGAGCAGGAGCAGGAGCAGGAGCAGGAGCAGGAGCAGGAGCAGGAGCAGGAGGTGGGAAATGCAAGCATCGAGGACTTATGGAATGACCTTGTCGCATCGTCGCCGGCGCAGGGACCTGTGAAGATGAATGGAGTCAAGGAAAAGAGAGAGAAGGAGGACGAGGACGATGTTGCTGATGGCTATCATGACGGCAAGACTGACATCTCGAAAGAGACAGTTCAGGAGGAAGAGCAGGAGGAAGAGCAGGAGCAGGAGCAGGAGCAGGACTTCAGCGATCAAGCTCGTGGCAATGAGACTCCTCAAGGAGGATCCATGAGTGAAGTCAAGCGCCACCGTCGCACGACTGTTGACCACGTCGATGAGCGAGCAGGAGGCGAGGATATCCGAATCCCCCGTGAGAGCGACGAGGCTCTCCATGCAGCGACAGACTTGGCAAGGGTGGGGAAGCTGTTGCACGATCAAGGACGCGAGGAGGAGCAAGAGAAGGAGGAGCAAGAGAAAGAGGAGGAGGAGGAGGAGGAGGAGGAGGAGAAAGAGGAACAACAGAAGGAGGGAGGGAGGAGCCATGACGGAGGACAGGGTCGTGATCAGTATCGCAGCCTCCAGACTCCCACATCCCCGCCGGACCCTCATCACCTCAAGGACCACATGGGCATCGACCCCCTCCTGCCCATCATGTGGAGCCCCAGCAGGGCCTGGGGAGACCCGGACTTTGCTCTAAGCAAGGTGGAGGAGCAGGTAGTCGGGGAGGAGGGAGAAGGGAGGAGCGCAGACAGCTACTTGATCACGATGCGCAAGCTCTGGTCCTCTGTTGCGGAAGAGGAGCAAGAGATTGAGGCTGAGGACGCGAGCTCTGCGCTGTGCACGGAGAGGTCCCTGCCTGAGATGCTGACGGAGAGGGGGATGGAGAGAGGGAAGATGCTGAAGGAGGGGGAAACACCTGTCAAGCGCGGGATGAAGGAGATTGAGGAGGAGGAGGAAGAGGAGTACAGGATGGTGGAGACTGTGCAGTTGTTTGCTGTTCAAACGCCAAATCAGGTAGATGGGGTTGTTGTTGATGATGTTGATGTTGATGTTGATGATGGAGTAGATGATGATGGAGATGGTGGTGGTGGTGGTGGTAGTGATTGTCATGGATGATGATTGTAGTTGTTGTTTCAATTGTAACAATATGAACTACCATACCATGACGAGTATCTTCGCAGCAATCAACAGTGAAGAGCAAGTTAGTGTCGGTGAGCAGACGATTTTGGGAGGGAGTTTAGAGTGCCGGGCAACCTCACCCTTAGCAGGTTGTGATGGAGTTTCGGTGGAAGAAGAAAGGAGCAGAATCTGAACAGACCAAAGGAAAGAGCAGCAGCAGCAGCAGCAGCAGCAGCTTCTTGCTGGATATCTCTGTCAAGAACGCTTCCAACTTCATGTTCAACAAGGTCCCCCTTGACTTCTGTCCCTCCCTCCTCGTCCTCGTCGTTGGGGGATCGATTTCTTCTTCTCCCACATTGACCCTGTCGTTCCAACAACACCCATCCCCTCCTGCACCTTTCCCCTCTTGTATCCTCCTTCTCCTCCTCCTCCTCCTCCTCCTCCTCCTCCTCCTCCTGTTCGTCTTCCTTTTCCCGCCTGATCCTCTTCCTCAGAACGCTGCTGCTGCTAGCGCCTCCTTCTACATCATCATATCCGCGGGCCAAAAAGGAGCCAGGAAGACTGGTTTATGCAGGAACACTGGACCCATCCTGAGGTCGACTCTTTCCCTTGTCTTCCTCCTCTCCTCCTCCTCCTCCTCCTCCTCCTCCTCCTCCTCCTCCTCCTCCTCCTCCTCAATCTCCTTACCCCTTCTAGCTGCTGACTGAGGATGCAGCTGGTCAGGCGAGCCAGCGATGTCGTTTGGTTGCCTCGAAAAAGAACAAGTCTTGCAAGTGAGGAGGAGGAGGCGGATGTGGGGGAGAGGGAGGAGAGGAGAGGGAGGAAGGAGGGGAGTGAGAGGAGGAGGAGGAGGGGAGGCAGTACAAGAGGAGAAGGAGGAGGGGGGATCTGAATACAGTGTCTGCAGGTTGTGATGGTTCAAGGAGAAGGAAGTCCGAAAGACCAACTGATAGCTTCTGCTGTCATACACGTAAGATTTCAATTTTTCCCCGTCCGCTTTTAAGACGTTTCCTGCCCCTCCTCTTCCCCCTCTCCCTCTCCCCCTTCGCCCGTCTCGTCTCCTCCGCCTCGGGTGCAGGGGTCGCTTCCGCGATGGTTGTCAGACTGGGTCTTTAGCCCCTATTCTAAAACGAGGGAGTACTCTCATTTGATTCCTGCGCAGAACATGTTGAGCGCAAATTGCATGCGGCAGGAGGGAGACCGTCTGAGGTCCATAACCTCAGGCCTTTGGACCTTGGCCTGAATGGATGCTGCCTGAACATGGGACATGCTCGCAAACCAGGCCTGCACATCGCAAGCAGGATCTCGTAATGAGTTGACCCAGCCTGCACATCACAAGCAGATACATGCAATGAGCTGAACCTGCATGCACGTCACGAGCAGCTTCAGGTAATGAGTTGAACCATTATGCACATCGCAGGCAGCTTCATGTAGGGAGATGAACCAGACAATCGCAACACAAGCAGCTTCTGTAATGACCTGCACCAGCATGCACATCT